GGTCAAGCAGTGGCAGAAATACCTGTCAGGAATAATTATTGCAGTAAGGAACCCCACCAAAAGAAACCTGTTGAAATAATAATCCAACCTGAGGATGAATTTGCATTAAATACAAATGTGTGTTTCAAAGGTCACATTAAATTCTTTTAGTGCTTCTGAGCCTAATGACCTCCACTCAAAAGCAGCCAGAGGTATATATATGTGCAGAGAGCATGGAGACATAAGACTGGTGGCTTAAGGTGAGCAAATAATGTGCATTTCTAGGTTTGATAGGAAAAAAAAAAAAAAAGTAGGTATTTTTCCATGTTGTTATGGTTTTACTTGGCCCGATTTTTGGTGGTGGGGGGATGGGACCAAGAAACCACAAAGATGGCTCCTGTGAGGAAGTTCTAGAAGCTTTCTCCTTCTTCTCCAACAAAAGAAGCCCTACCTCCTGTGTTTTAGAGACAATCCATTATGGCTCTGAGGTTGATGGACAGGCTGCCATCAGGCCTGGGCCAATTGCACAGGATGGTTACACCTCTGTGATGACAAATGGTCTGGTACTTCAGAAGAATTCAAAACAAGATAGGGGCGGCTGCCATGTAGTTTTAGGTTGTTAGTATTTAGTTTTAATATCATGCACTGGGGAAAAACAGAGCAGGAGGGTGAAGAGATGTAAGAAGAAAAATGGAGACCCAAGATCACAGTAAGGAGAAGATGAGATGGGTTGCTATACTGTTGCTGTGGTGCTCGAGCATGGAGAAAATAAGTTGTTCTCGAAAGGACTATTTCATCAATGAGAGACCGGTATAGAAAAAGAGAGGGACCTTGCTCTGAGGAAAAAACCTGGCCTTTGAGGACTGGACTGAATTGATCAGGAGCCAAAAAAAAAAGAAAGGCTTAGCCCCCCTCCCCAATGTCTGAAGCGAGTTGATGCTAAGAAGAAATTGTGTTCTGCGGGGAGGGAGAGATGCCCCGCCCTACATCTGAAGTTAGTGGATGCTTAGAAGAAGCTGTGTTCTGCCAGGAGATTTGTGATAGTGGCGGTGGCGTTAATGGTGCCGAAACAACACCGTTTGGCCTTGAAGAACATTCTTTCCTTTCTCCCACGAGGTAAAGACTCCCTTGTCATCAGCAGTTATACATTGACTGTTTCTTGGGAAAAGTAATTCCACAGCTTGGAGCTGTAAGAATGCTTCACCTATGATGCTGGATGACAACTGTAATGAGTAGTTTGATCTATGTTAGACTTTCATTCCTGTCCCCTTTTGTATGCGGGAAGACATGGGAGGTGGAGAGGGAGGACCTGGGAAAGAGACGGGTCCCGGAAAGCATAACAGGTCTCTTAAAATGTCCATTTTTTACTTTTCTTTTCCTTGTAAATTTTTCCTTATCTTTGTTCCCCTCCCCGGTGCAGTAGTATTCTTAGTAGTTTTTAGTAACAAATTTATTTTGCAACTTAAGTTATTCAGCCTGTCTGACCATTTTCTGGAGCATATATGTATCTTTCTCTCAATTATGTTATGTTATCTGAAAGCCATAAATTTCACTGTTAATTGGTCCCCCCGATGGGGGCAGAGAGAGAACGTTGTGGGTGCAGTGCTTTTGGCTTTCGGTTGATTTCAAACCACAACATTTTTGGTGCCGCGACTCGGATTGGGAAAAATCTAGTTTAAACCCACGACACACGTAGATTTAAATTATGCAAACTGATTAAACAGAAAAAAAGGCTTTGTGAAAGTAATTCAGTAGAACATGTAATGCAAAAGGTATTGGTAACTGAGGCTTGTGAGAGGAGAGATGTGATAACTTATCCAGCTTATTTACAAAATTCAATGAATTGTCAGCTTTTCATCTTTATTTTGTACATACAATTCATGTCTGTGCTACATCTGCTCCATTGGTCTTAAATGGCATGTCTAAAAACTGAAGGCTGTGGAGTCCTTTTGGAGACCCAGACACAAACTTGGCAGTTTCCAGACCATATGTCATGAATAGACTGGAGTACAAACCAACATTTCTTGCTCCCAACAGAAAGCAGTGCCACAGCTGTGACTTTCTCTCCGTACATTTTGTAGTGCCAGTATAAAAATGCTGTACTGCAATAATGGATGTATCCTTGGTATTGTATGACCTGAAGCATAACTTGAATTTATACCACTTAAACATGCAAACATTCAATCATCCAATACACTTAGTTATGCTTTTGGGATTTTTAAATGTATTTAATATACTTTTCCTTCACTCCTACTAAGTTAGGATGCTTCCCAAGATTTTTCAATGCACTTAAATGACATATTTTGTCTTCTGCAGTCACTCACAGAATTGAATACCTATTAAGAGTTTCACTGAAATTTTTCCATCTCCAACAAAGAGCCTTCTTCCTCCCAGCCCTAATGCTACTTTTTTTACATTAATTCATCTTCCCATTACAGTTCTAATTATATGCTCTTAGTCTGTCTTAGTCTGACATGGCACAGTTTCAAACACCACAGAAAGAATTTTTAGTTGTCCTAAAATTTGACATGAGCAGCAATTTGGTTGCCAAAGACAGGATGAGACCAGCCTATTTCGTGGCTTGTAATATCTCTTCACTCCTGTGAAATGCAGATAAAATGCCAATGATATCACATGTATAAAAAGTGCATTATCATCCTCCTGAATACACTGGAATCCTTCCTTCTTTGTAAAATGCTCCTGCCATGCATATAAACTTGTAGTCTATTAAAAAAATATATTATTATTCAATGCTTTAAAGACATGAACAGATAAAGACATTTCAAAGTTGTTAATGAGAATTTTTTTTCCCCCCAAGAAAATAATTTACTTTTTTGTTGCTGTTTAGAACATTTCTCCTCAGTGTTTATTTTCATTCTTTTCAAACAAACACAAACAGCTGCTTCAGCACACAGCACTAGTGAATGGACAGAGTGCATTTTTAAAGACAGTGACTTTCTAGGGTATAATTACAACTAATAAAAATAATTCTTATGACAGCAAACCATGTAGAGAAGCATCCCCTCCCATCCTTTCAGTAAATGAGTCCATGCTTTTACCTAGGCAAAAGTAAAAACTTGTCTTTCGCTGTTCTTATGCAAAGAAAAAACTTAAAAGGGAGGGTGTTAATAATGCTTTTTTACCTTTAGGTTACTGTTAATTTATTTCATTTCTAATACTAGAATATCCAGGTTTTACTGATTCTGCTGGCAGTTGTGACTGCCAGTACTGTCTTTACTAGGTAAAAAAAATATTTAATAAGAGATAAGGAATATTTTAGCATTCATCCAATACTGTACAGGGGATTCATTAAAAAATAAAGAGGATATTTACACTGATAGAAGACATAATGAAGACCATATATAAAATGAAGAGGAACATAAAGAATAAGAAATAATGTAAATACAATATTGAAATTTAACAAGCTTCTACTCTCCAGAGGCTGCACCAGATGCACAACAAGAAGCTTAATGTGTTCACCCTAATGACAGTAACATAAAAACACATGTTTTTTCCAGATCTACATGTTTTTAGAATATTAACCTTTAGTGTGATGCCTTTAAGTAGGTCAGTCTCAATACACTCACACTCATTTTCAGTACTGGATTAACTCTGTCAGATTAACATCAGTGATAAAAATATTATGTATATTTCAGCCAACGTGAACGTCTGCCATAGGCAACTCACCTTTTAGCAATTACCATCTGAAGCAGAAAGTTTTAACAATATAGTTACCAGATAATACAGAACTGCATTCCATAATTGGATGGAATTGCACTGGGCAAGTACAATATGGCCAGAACAGGTGTTAGCTTAATTTTCCTCATCTGTACCTGTTAGCAAGTCTGGTTACCTTTGCACACTCATTTGATGTGGTCATTCGGGGAAATCAGTGCAGATGGTGCGTCACTGTGTGCACTTGCCAAAAATTTTTACAATTAGAAGCCACTGCCTCCAGCCAGCATGAAAACTTAGTGTAGATTACTACTAGAATTTAACTAAAAATTATTTGTGGTTATAACCTCAGCAGACAAGGAAAAAAAAAATGAATAAAATCCATCTGAATCCAGAAGTGAAAAAAATGAAAATGCATGGAGTCTAAGGGGTGCCTCCTTGAATTTTACCTATGAAGGTCTTATGCAAGTATGTTGTTATATTTTTTTAACCCACTCCTAGTCAATATATACTGTTTTGTAAAAGAACTAGTACATCACTTTCCAGTGAATTTTTTGGCCAATATTCTTAAAAAGAAATTAATATCAGTACTCTTCTAGTTCAGAAAATATAAAAAATATTATAAAATTATAAAAAAATACCGCATATTTATTAACAAAAGAAGTATGATTTCTACTAAAAACAAAGTATAACACAGTACACTTCATAAAAACAAGGAAAAATACATGGTACATAGTAAGTGAAACAGATAAGTACAATGAGGGGTTTTTTTTCCATTTCATTTCAAACTGCTATATTTTATACTTTGTAAAATTTCAGTTTTAATGAATGACTGGCAGTATGATAACTTTTCATTTAAATTTTGTAGTGAGTTGGAAACCATTGAGTTTTGATTTTGTCTGCTTTTTTTACATTCTGTTACTCCAACTACTTTGAATATGTGCTTATACAAAAGTCTTACAAAAGTGACAGGGACAAACCAATTGCCACTGAAATAATGGAAGACTGACAGAAATACTGAGAAAATTACTGTTATTTTCCCACTAAGAATGTTGCTAAGACATATTTTGCTGAGGTTTTTTCAGTTTGTTTTGTTACAGTGGTCTCAAAAATAATAATTTTTCATTAAGCTACTTTAACTATTTTGAGGTATTTCTACTTTACTTTCCTCAAACTAATGCTGAATCATGCTCTTATGATGCATTGGATTCAGTGGTTTTTATCTGAGTATGGCGATGAGATTTTTTTTCCTGACTTTCCAGTAATATTTTATACATGTTGTTAATTAATAAAACCTATTAATAAAGCTAAACTGATAAACATAACAGTCAATAAAGAACACTCACCTACTGTCAGTTGTCCAGTTAATTGTCCCATGTGATTTCTTGCATTCACTGTTACATTTCTGTCAGACTGTAAGACCAGTGGGCTATCCTGGGAAACATGTATGAGACAATAAATGAGAGAACAAAAAATTGAGGTAAAATTAAGTAAGAACTTAATATAAACATGCATGCTGAGAGGGAAGTTGTGTAAAGTATAATAGCCCTTTTTAATAATTTTATTAAATATTTTAAAAGTCAAATTTTTATATTAAGGAATACCAAGAATACTATTTTAAACTTGAATCCTTCGTGCATAAAATCCCTGCATTAGAAATCAGATTTGAAATTGATTTATACCATTTGGGTTTAATTTCCTGTCAATATTACAAGTTCCAAATTCAAAAAAATTTAGCATAGCACAAACCTGTTTCACTTGCCTTCTCCATATATTTCCAGCCCACACTTTTCTAGCTACCTAACCAACACTATGTTGCATTGTTCTATCAATCTGCACCATCTATAATATTTACATTGCACTTACTAAGATCTTATAACACAGACATGCATTTCTTTGAAGTTTAAGAAAATTGTTACTCTCAAAAAAATGATGAAAGAATGTACTGGAAGGTGAAATCTTGTAGCAGAGAACCCTGATCCACTGCCAAAAGCACCTGGCAGGTACTATTAGGGATCAAACTGGTACAGCAAGGAGACAAACACTTTATGAAGTTAAATACAGTCTGAACAACTTTGGAGTCTGTTTGCAGCATGACTACATTGCTCTCAGCATCCAACTATGTTTAAGCTTTTGAAAAATGTTTGCATATATATATATGTTATCTTATTCTGTGTCCAAAGCCAGCATTAAAACCCTCAAAAATAATTGAATTTTGCTTTTTGAAGAATGAGGAGCCAGATGCTCTTCTCCAGGGGAAGTGCAGATGCACAGGAAAGAGGAAGAGCTTCAACAGAGTGCTAAGAGAAATAGCCTAAAAAAAAAAAAGAGTGAGCTCACTAATCATGCTCTCACTGGAGCAGGGTGAGTGCATAAGAGAAAGAAAAACTAGGATTGTGACTGCTGCTGCAGAGAGGCAATTTTCTCCCTGGAATCACCTGATCCCACACTGTTCCTCCCCTGAAGCTCTCAGTGAGACAGTGGGTACTTTAATGCTTCTGGCAGTTTGCTAGCACTTAGTGTGCTTACGCGTGTTTATCCAACAGCAGTAAGACATCTGACAGAAACAGCTGGGGATGTGTCTTAGGTAGGAATGACTAAGGGCCAGGAAGGTATTTGGGAAATTTATTATATACTTGTTGTATTCTTGGATTCTTCCCTTGCCATTCATTATTGGTCATCCCTGGATTGAGCATTTAAGGTCAAATAGACCCCTTGGGTGTGTGTGTCGATATACTTCTTGCTATTCTTGAGAGTTTTTTAGATGAGAAGAAAAGGACTTAAAGAGACACAGATAAAGATTTATTTTTACCTGGGTTTCCACTAAAATTTTTAGGTTTTCACTAAAATTTTCCATACCTGAAAGTCCTTTCCCTTGAATCCAGGGCTTTTCTGTACAAGAAACATTCTTCCCAGTTGTTTTCACTATGATTATTAACTTTAAATGATAATTGGTTCCCTGGGAGGTCTGAAACGATTCTCATCTAATTTCAAAGAGTTCAGGTGTATTTAATCTCTCACTGGACTATGCTATGACCTCTCTAACATCCTGCCAATTAGTTTTGCATCACAGGGTCTGGCAGATGAAAGTGACTGTATGGCTTGTCCATCTTTCTAGATAAAAAGCTATAATTATCAGTGAGACACTGTGTTCAATTTGACTAGTTTGAGCTAAACATGTGATGCAATCAAGGGAGCTTCTGGCAACAACAACAGCTGCTTAAGGACCTTTTTCTCAACACTTGATTTCCACTTTCCTTATGGTCCTTTGAAAATCATTAGTACAGGCAACTGCTGCTCTGGGAAAAGCAATTGTCCTATCAGGTATGTGCAAGGCCAAAGGCTTTTAAGGACACCTTTTTGCTTTTCCTTAGTCACTATTTGGTGCAAAGTCTTCTCAGCTAGAATAATCTCCCCCTTAGCAAGGGAGGATACTGCCATGCCTATTTTTGCAGTTCAGCAAAGGTTTGGGAATTTACACTGACAAAGACTAGTTGCAGTCTGATCTGAAGGTGTCTCTCCTTTTAATGTCGGAAAATATTTAACACAAATCTCAGGCTAAAATCTGCCTCTCAGGTTCTAATTTTAAAAAAAAAGAACCTTGGATATCAAATTCTGAAATACAGGATAATGGAACATTAGGTGAGCCAAGTCTTATTTCTTCTTCTTTTCTTGTCTTTTATATAAGATAAAAAGAGAAATGAAGAAGTTAAGAACTTAAATCTGTGTTCCTCAGTTTCTGGATGAAAAATATAGAGCACCAATCTTAAATTGTGAACCAAAGAAAACACAATAGTACAACTATCAATTCAAGAAGTCCAGCATTTCATCCACATTGTTTAACTGCACTTTATTTTACATAGGAAGTGCTAAAGACAGAGGTCCAAGGAATTCAAAGACAGTCCACTCAGAGAAGATAAACATTCAAAGAAGACTTAGCTGAAATCAGTGGAATTATTGATTTGTAAGATAAATGCAAAGTTCAATGAGTATCTTCCACAGGAATACAAATACAACTGAAGCATAAAAATACTGGATAATTTTCTCTCTGGATTACCAGACCTGTTACTCTCTTGATGCAAATTTCAGCTTACAAAAATTTGTGATGCTATTTCAAAAATTGTACTGGAGATAACAAAAAACAACAATGTAAGAACATTCTTACACAGAGCTTTCAATAATGTCAACATGTTAATAAGAAAAATATTATAGAGGGATACTGTCAGGGCCATGTGGGCTCTACCAGCCCTTACTGGCCCTACCCAACCTCCCTGGGGGACCCATCCAGCTCCACTTGACCCCTTCTGGTTGGGTTGTGCTGCTTGGCTCCCATCAGTGTTTAAGGAGCATTCAGCCCTCACTGCCTCCTCATGGACATGAGGACCTCAAGACCCAGCTGATGTTCATGGTATTGCATGAGATGCCTCCTGTTATAAACCCCAAGATAATCTGCAAGATTAAAGGTAAACCAGATGAACATGTCACTATAGCTACTTCTTGTCTGAAACAGCTTTACAGCTAGAACTCATAAGGGGAAAAACAACCTATTTACCGTAGGGGATGTTTTCAGAAATCTTTCTCAAATTGTAATCCAGTTATAAATACAATGAAAATTTTGAGGAAATAAAGAGTTTGGGGTTTGTTTTTTTTTTTGTTTGTTTGGTTTGGGATCACATTTCAGTAATAAATATCAACATTTTTTCGAATTAGATGAACAAATTATTGTAACTATATGAAAGACTGATAGACTGTTTTATAAAATCATTTTACAAACAAATATTCTGCATGAGTAATCATAGCAAAACTTTCTTTTACAGACAGTTAAATTATTTTTAACATATTTTAGACAAATTTAATACATTTTGTACAGCATTCAAAGAGGCAATCCCAGCTAATTAGCTCAGTTTTGAAGAGTCTTTCCAAAGTGAACCCTTTAAATTAGAAACACTTTAAATGGAGCAACTTAATTCCAGTTAGTTCAATAAAACTTTCATTTACTTTAGGTAAGATGGTTTCCTTGTATAATTAAATATAATCCCAGGTTTATGCTCAGAACACAGCTAATTATGATAATACCACCAATTTTGACATTTAGGAACAGTATCGGTATGCCTACATTGCTATAGGATATGTAGTGGCTCTTTTATGATTTGATTTCTGTGCTTAGGCAAGTGCATCACTTCAGGTCTCTGGATTTTTACATGGGTTCATTCAGATGTAAAAAGTGATGTAATAAGTCAGTAGGACTCCAGATCTGCCACTGTATCTGTTGGCAGTTTGCAAGAGGATGAAATGTTTTGTGATGCGAGGTTATATATTGTCCTTTTTTTTTTTTWTTTGAGCCTTTCCACAGTATAGGCTAAAATAGTTAGGGCAGAACCTTTCCTTACAGGACTCTTATCAAATATACTCTGACACTCTAGAGACTCAGAATGACCACTGCATTGACGGGGTACCTCTGCACAAAAAAGAAAAGAGAATCACTATCAGATTTTGGTCTGCTGAGAAACTCACTATTAGCAGATTTTAAGAAATATAGAGAACATATTTCCCTGCTAATGCAGAGCACCACACATTGATTGTCTACATCTGGTCAACGACCCCAACAGAAGAATGAAAAATGTATGAGTAATTTGACCACACTATAGAACAAAATGAGAACTGAAAGAAAGCCCTTAGTGCTCTGGTCAGTGCAGCAGACCAAGGGAGTCAAAGAACAGAGGGGTAGATGTGCAATAACTACCTGGGCAACCGCAGATAAGGTAAATAAGGGATCACAAGTGTGAAGAATATCTTGGAGGAATTAAGTGCAAAAAGTTTAGAAGGATCTGAAAGACACACTGTCAGTTAAGAAGAGTAGAAAGCAGAGCAAAGAAGGAGTGAGAGGATGAAAAAATTATTCCTTAGACGTTACCCCTTGTCCAGAACCAGAACATCAGCATGTTTTAGCAACATTCCTTGAAAAAGGGGAGGTAACATTAGAGGTGGAAGTTCAAGCTGCAGGGACTGAAGAAACACACATTTGTAGGGCTTGGAACCTCTAATCTAAAGACAGACAAACTTTCTATCATTAAGGCTAGTAATAACCTAAACAAACATGAAAAAAATTTCATTAGGAAAAAATAGAAAGAAAAAGACCTACAAATGAAAGCAATTGCTGACCTCTCGAGTACTTAAAAAATGGAAGGCTCCATTCAAACTGTTGGATGTTTGCACAAGTTTGGGATTGTCAAAGCACAAATTGAAGAGAAGTATTCTTCATCAGAATATTTCCATGATATTTTTTTCAAGAATATTTCCAATATTCCCTTATATGAATATTTACCAATATTCAGTATTCCCAAGAATCTTCCCAAGGTGTCAGGATAGCAGGGACTCCAACACAGCTATATTTCAAATAGGGAGAAATTAATACAATTTATTGTCCAAGTTAT